TTCGAACCGCTGACCTTAAGGTTCGCAGCCCGATTCGTAACCACTACGCTATGGGAAAAATTGCAGGTTGTTGCCCTTCTAAAAATCTAATCTTTCTAAAAAACAAGAACAATGTGTGTGGTGCATAGCAACCAAATCTCTTGAATGGCAAACTTAGAAACAAAGATGGTAGCCAACCACACATATGGCTGGCTCTCTGTAGTCCTTCTGGCAACTCTAGTGCTTGCAGCACTTCTTCTGAGCTCCCATTCCAGGGCTTCAACCCATAAATCTTTCTTGTCTTGGTTATCATTCCAGTATACCCACATTTTATAAGTTTGGGTCTGTTTCTGTTTTGCTCCATCTGCCATGACTTCAAACTGGTTTGAAGCCTTGAATTAACTGAGTAGGCAATTTCTAATTGGTTAGCGTAAGTTTCCATTTCTGGTAAGTCAATTGATTGGCTTGGGTTTAGCTCCAGGAGGGTTAGGCATATATATGAAACAGAAACTAGAGTTGTTTTGACTTTCTGTGGGACTTAGCATAAGTGGTCCTATTTTAGTGTGGCACTATAGGATGAGCACTGGACTGCTGAAAGGTCGATATTTCAAGCCCACCAGCTAAGTCAGAACCGACTGGACAGCACTTAACAGCAACAACATAGGTTACCAAGTAAAAGAAAGAGATAAGGAACACCTCAGTCTTTGGAAGACTAATCAAATTTTTAGGAAGAACTATCATAAGATACAGTCATTAAGAACAGTTTCTAGAACCAGATTTCCTGAGTTCAGATCCACGGTCTACTACTTACTGACTCTGTAGCTTCAGGCAAAATTACTTAGGCTCGCTCTGTGCTTTGTGGGTTGTTCTATGGATTGAGTGAGTTAATAATTGCAAAGTTTGTGTACCCATGTGCCTCCCATACAGTGTTCAGTGCTTTGGAGTCTGTTCCGACTCATAGCGACCTTGTATAGGGTTTTCGAGGAGTGGCTGGTGAGTTTGAAGTGCCGATCTTGTAGTTTAAACTGACCTTGTGGTCCAGTGCTTATCCTAGAGTGCCACACCAGGACTCCTAGCATATAATAAGTGCTTAATAAAATTTAGCCATTATTAAGACTGTGGAGAAGGTAATCTTTGAACTGTAGCCTTGAAGGGTAGGTTGGATTTAGATAAACAGAAAGGTGAGAATCACCCCAAGATAGTATCCATAGATTTTTTGTTTTTTTGTTTTTTTTTTGCAACTCAGTCTAAAACATTTAAAAAAAAATGTTTTATTGTGAATTATATGATAGTTTACATGGGAGAACATTAGTTTTACATTCATTCTATCGTATATCGTTTCATTGCCAT